ATCAGCAAGCACACAAGAGGGAATGACACACTCTTCCTATTACTTAATATAGACATCTCCATCTACCAAAAAAAGTCTGCCAAACTTCTGTTCCTTATATAGCCACTCCAAGGTATATAGGTATCCAAGTCCCAAACGAAGAATGAATCGGAGAGAACAGAACAGTTCACAAGAATGCATCCACACACTTTTCCCTTGCACATGCAGAAATCAGCAGCCTCTGAAGTCCTCCTTGAACTGTTTAAACAAATCATGCAGAAATGTTGGCCCTATTCCAAGATCCTGCAACCTCAGATAATACTGTTATATAATATTCACCATATATTTCTCAAAAGGTTTCATCAAACTGCCTTTAGTCTGCATCTTCATCCCTAGTAAACCTTTTCTCTCTGCCAGCCCTTCCAAAAGAAGTAATTTCTTACTACAGGAGGCTGTGGGGAAATACTGGTTTCACTTCCATAAAACCCAGCTGACTGCCTCCCAAGAGCTGCACAAGCTGTCACAAGGGTACTGCCAGGACGGTGCTGTGGCATGACTCAGGACAAGACAGAGAGTGACAGTGGATCTCATCAGACGGGTACAAGAAAAGGATCTGCACTCCAGTCACATCCGTGCACTTCTACCTCACAGCCAGCACACGCAGCTACGGAGACAGCACAGACAACTGCTCTAGGAGGCTTTTTCAGGAAGCAAGATTTGCTTCTATGGATTTTTCCAAATAACTCTTTATTACATGTGATGTACACAGTAACATCACCTGCAGCCTATGCTTTAATGTATGTGAGTTCATCAAATCCAAAACACATGCGACTATTCTAACAGAGGATGCATGAAGAAGTCATGCACACATCTTGTTTCACCAGAAGTCTGCACAAAGGTGTTTGTTTCACCTAATTAAGCTTTTGTGTCAAGTAACATAAGAGTAAATCAGGCAATAACCCTGCATTTGATTTAAGCACTTAAGAGTATATGATGAAAACCAACAAAAATGATTAGGATTTTATCAGATTTCCCTAAGTCAGACATTCCAGCTGGTTTTACATTTTGCTGGAGGTTCACAGACTTGCTCTGCTCACACAACACTCAGCTCTTTCTATCTGTGCTCCAGCCCACATAGAAATCATGGCTGATACCATGCAAGGGCCTGAGCTAACAGAGCTAGAAACAAGCAGGGTTAAGTTATCACAGGCAGACAGCCACCTTAACATGGCTGCATGTCCTCTGGCCAGCCCACACCTGGGACAATGGGTTTGTGTCTGCCTTAATGCACTTTGCTTCTTTCAAAAATGAGACTAAAAGACCTGAGAAGCTGACAAACTTTACATGAAAAACTAATAATGCAATTTCTGCAGCAAAGATTTATGGCTTTAAGCTATTTTCTTCCCTAAAGCAGTTATGGTTTTATTTCATGGTACCCTCTGTAATCCTGGGCAACATGCTGGGAACCCATACATTAAATAAGCAAAGTCTGCTCAAGTCTGTGCCAACCAGTTCTGCAGCAGGAGAGTGTGTGCATATCTGTGTGCAACCCCCTCCTGTGGGGGTCACAGGATTCTCTCCCTTCCATGACAAAGTTTCCATAAGTACTTCAAAACGTGCACTCAGTATTTCAAAATGCAGTCTTCTATCTAATCCACGTTTCTTCTCAGCAGTACACACCACAAAATTACCTCCTTAAGCACACACATTAACTGGGTTCTTGCCTTCAGCTGCAGATTGCTGTGAAAACAGCTCATACAGAGTTCCAAATCCACATCTCCTTCCTTGAAACCGTGTAGCACTGGGCTCTTCCCTTTGGCATAAGAATCACAGAAATCTACAATAAATAGGCCAAACTTAAGTCCAAGTCATTATTTTTGAGTTTTGTTGCACTTAAGGCTTCTTGTTTCAGCAGTTCTTTTGTCACATTTTAGCCAGGCTCACACTGAAAGCTGTAAAATAGCAATTTCAATATCCCAAATACTTTTCCTTGCTTTCTAATTGTGACACTACTAACATTATTTATTGCTGCCCTTGGGACACACACACACAGAATCCTGTCTAAAACCCCCAACCCACACATGCTCCTACATCCCTGAGTTTTGCTACTAACTACCCTGCTAAGGCAAACCAAATTTAACTCTTTAGAAGTTTAAGTCAACAGTAACATCATTCTCATGCTGTGAAACTTTTCATTCATATTGTGCATTATCTATTCTTTTCTGAATAGACAATCATCAGAGGACGGAAGAAGACCTGGAAGCTGACTCTGACTGGTGCAAAGCAATGGGCAGGCAGCACTCCACAGTGATATTTCACAAGCCACTGCATTTAGAGTGCCACAACAAAGTAGAGTACCTGCCATGCAAACACCTGTATTATTAATAGAACTGCAAGTCTGAAAACTTAGACTAAGAAAAAATATTAAAGATAGGCCAAAATACAATGCACACAACAGCACCCTTAACTCAAAGGGAGCAAAAACTCCCTTCTGTTGAATGTATTTCAGCACAGGTAAATGTTAGGAAATACTGTGCATACTATACAAAAAATCTATCTTGAAATCAAACCCAATACTGTTGTGGGTTATATTTTAATTATTTAGTTATCTCTCTATATGTGCACATAGCATTAACTAAGAGAATATATTTCCCAATAATAATTAAAAAAAAAAAACAACTTAGCAGAAAACAAATCAAGCTTTGACTGAACAGCTATTTAGCTTTTAACCAAAATCTCTATTTCAACATGTTTACCTTACCTAAATCTTTAGACAGCTAGTTACACACTGTCATGTGTTTACATAATCTGTTCAACTTGCTAAAAATTACTGGACTGGTTTTCCAGACAGCTGATCAATAGAATTGCATATTCAGAGGGGTTTTGCACAGCCATCCACACAAGTGACATCCTTGCACTGGAAATATGAATGCCACATGTCAACTTTCAAATGTGTTTCCTAGCAAATCTGGTCTTATCTTTCTGCAAGTGAGACTGTTCCACAATTCTACTGTATTCCAAAAAGTCAAAGTGATTAATTTAACAAAATTACAGGATGGTATATAGGGAAAAGTACTGAGAGCCGTTTTTTACTTTTGCACAATTTGCATAGTAACAATCAGGGGAAGAAAAAGATACCTGTTAGCACACAAGTAATGATATAATAGCAATGCTGGTATCTTTTTTTTTTTTTCCCCACTAACTGCTAGAACTACTGAACACAATTTTGGAAATTTACATGGGAATCAATGAATTTCAAATATTTACTTTAGCAACAACCTCATCTGCTAGGTTACAAACCTCTGTATCCATCCTTACTGCCCAGTGCCTCAAGGTGCAGACAGATGCTTTAGAACAGACAGCTGTTAAAGAGAAGCTTGCAGTCAGGAGAGAAGGCAGCACCTCAGGTCACACCACAGGCACAGGAGGCTTCACCCAGCCTTGGCAGCAGCCAGTCACACTGCAACCTTCACAGGACCTAGACATTCCCTTCCTAGGAAGCTTCAGCTCCTTTTAGAAATTATTTCCACAGTTATTCATTCAAGATCGTTAGCCAACAGCCTCTAAAACATTTTATGGCTTTTTCAAAAGGAAACTTCCATAATTTAGGAAAAGCATGTAGGGGTATATTTGAGAGACACTCTACCTTGCTCTACTTTGAATGAAGGAAATAGCTAAAAGAGAAGCTCAGCATCATGTAAATATATGCCATAAACTAGACAGTCAATACACATGCAAACTAAGATATCTGAGTATTCCTTGATACTTTAAAAAAAACTCCTCAAGGGCCTACCACTTGGAGTTTGAAACTAATTCCACCAAAATTTAACTACAGCAACACTTTAAATACTTCAGCAAAATTGCTGTTATTATTGTTATCAATCTCTTGCTGAAGCTCACTCTTTTTTCATCCCATTATTATTACTATTACTCTCTTGTTAAAATGTACCCTTTTCCACCCTTTATCTTCAACACAGAAAAAATTCATGAATTTACAAGGCAGAGAGAGAGAGCAAAGCACCTCTAAAAATGTTCCTCAGCCTCTAAGTAAATAAGTTACAAGGCAGAATACAACCAGAGTCCAAAAACTAACTTACAAAAATTCAGTACTTAGTACGTTCTACACACATTACTTTTAAGTTGTGTGAAGAAAGTTGCAGAAGGTTCCAAGGTAAAGGGACTAAAACACTTAAAAAAGAATACTTCTGCTGTGTCATTTTATGAATTATTATTACCCTGGCAGTAAAGGCAACATAGGAGCCAGCAAAGAAACAGGGAGTCAGAGGTGGTAAGAACTTGTCTTCCAAAACAACCAGCAGATGTGAATAGTCTTTTTAACAAAACTTACAGAACAGCAATTTGGGAAGGCAAAGAGGTCATTGCTTTCCCATGTGAGAGGGCTGAAGAACCCTTAGGTACAAGCTGAGCACACAAAAACTCATGCACCTAAATCACTACTGATTTCTAATATGAGCTCTGTCAGGCCTTCAACTCTTACCATACACCTCCGTCATCTAGATCCTGGCAGGTTCAAGGCAAAGGTTATGTTTTGAAAAGCATGAACTTTACAAAACAAAAAAAATCCACTGAAGTTACCAAATGGCCTTTATCCAGGGCATCGCCCATATCAAAAGCCATCACTGTGTTCAAAAAAAGGGGAGGGCTCAAACCAGTTTTCAGGTAAACAGGAGATAGGTGATTGCCTGCCCTCCGTCTCTGTGGGCTCGTGAAATGCCAACTGATGAGACCTAAGCTAATACAAAAACACTAATGACAAAATATTCAGATCAGCATATGCACTCCATAGTCAAATATCCATGACAACCATTAATAATCCCACACTAAAACCCACTGCACACTATAGTGCATGGAAGTTCATTTCTGAGAGCAGGTGCCTGACTGCACGCATACCTTCTCTGTCAGGTCTCAGAAAACACATTCCCCGGGAAATTACCCAGTCTGTGCGCTTTCTTTTGACACCAACAGATGATCACTGGTTTTTTTTAAGTTCTAGTCCCTACCATGCATTTGTTCCGCAAGCAGCACAAAGCGCTGGAAGTGAGCTTGACAGCGCTGCGGAGGGCGGGCGTGCCGGCCCTGCCGTGCCTGCCTGCCCCGGCGGCCCTGCCGTGCTGAGCAGCGAGGGCAGCACCCGGCGCTACAGCAGCGACAGCACCGAGCGCAGCGCGAAGCGGCGCTGACAGCGGAAAGNGCCAGCGCGCCGGGCGGCGGCTCGGGCACAGGGGGACGTGCGGGCAGAACCGAGCCGGAGCCCCCCTTCCCTTCCCTGTCTGCACACCGACAGCTACCGCTGCCACCCCTAAAACTTGTGAGGACGCGTATGGGTAACTCAGGGTCTTCCTGCGTTTCATTCCACTCCAAAGGAGGGGCAAAGGCAGCCTAGGTGCAGTCTTTTTCGTAGATGGAAAAATACATCATATCGACTCCAAAGAGCAACGCTGAATAGTACCAGTTCTTGTCAGACTCGGTTTTATTTTTAATGTTTTCATACTACAGCCTTAAAACATCTTTAGTATCAGCTACAAAGTTTCCAGCATTTTGCACGAAGGGCCTGGTGCTTCCCCCACTTTCTGAATTGCATGGGAGATGATTTCTCTTTCGGAAGCTGGAGGTGGGGGCTTTAGAATTAACAAGTCGCATTCCAATTTCAAGCATTCCATGAAGTGAAGTTTGCAAAGAATTCTTAGCACCATTTCCTGGTGACAACCAAAGACTTAAGCTCTGGCTTCTCCCCACCATCCCAGAGCAGAACATACTGTCCTCAGCAGTCCTCTGTTGTGTCACAGCGTGTCTGATCTGCATTGCTCAAGAGAAAATTAACCACAGCAAGAGGGTGAAATTTTGAGTTGAGTTGACAAACTTATTTGTTTTGAAAATTAGGACTTGTACCTAAAATTACTACTGAAAGCCAAATGGAAACTGGTGGGACTTGAACACATCTTGGAACTGGGGAATAACCTTTATGAAAAACGATATTTTCCAAACCCCACATTTTTCAGTTATTCTGACAATTACAAGTGTAGCAGGAAAATGTAAAAAGATGAGTCTAAATGATGTTCCCTGCACATGAAACATTAAGATTAAAAAGTTTCAATTAATAAACTTTTTTTAAAACAACAAAGAAAAGTGTAAGTCAAATAAAGGATTCCACATTACCCTTAAGAAGGTAACAGCTAATAGGAAAAATAACTGATTTGTTTCCTTTTCTTTTTAATGAAGCTAGTTCCACAAAAATCCATGATTTAGCCTACACTCATAGCACGTAAATGCCAACAAGTTTTGTTTTAGGACTGAGTTTTATTAATTTACAAGATTCCTCAGTAGCAACCCTAGTGTCAAGCACATATAGCCAAGACAAAATACAGGTGGTGTAGCTACACCAATGCTTTAGATTAGCAAGTATATCATGGGGGCATAAAAAACAAAACCCACACTTTAATATGGTCAAATTGGGGTTTTTTTGATCACCGCTTTGAATTTTAATTATTTTATTTACTAAAAAGGGAAATTCCCAGGAAGGGTCATTTGGAAGCATCTTGAATTTACTAGCTGAAACTTACAAAAATTACACAGAAACAAAATTAAAGTGAATTGACTTAAATGCCTTTGTTTTTTTCCCAGAAGGTACAAAAATGAACAGTTTTAAATTATCTGAAAATTAGACCAAAAAAAACCCCATCACTCAAGTAAAAGCTTCTTCAGACAGAAAGGCTCACCATGTGTCAGCCATGGTGGAAAAACTTCAAGTTCCTTAATTTGCTGAAAGAAACCTCAGATTTTGCCAATTACCTTAAAGTTATATATCTTAAGAGCTTGTCCAGAACAAACTATATATACATTGTTTGCTCAAGTCACTTGAGCCAGAAAGGAATAATTACATTATTTTCAATTACCACTACCATTGCCTGAATTGGAATTTGCAACAGTGAATGTAAGGCTAGACATTTCTGTCCAATCCTCGGGAATGTTTTTATTGAAAATCCCTCACTAAGGAAACAACTTGAGTTTATGGGCATTTTTATTTGGTTGTTTTATGTTAATATTCCACAAGATATGAATTTCATTTTTAATACTTAAACCAATACTTAAAAACTAATTTGAAATTCATTTGTTCTCCAATGCAGTTTTCACTTTGTAATTTCACTGTGCTCTCATTTTTTCTATTTGTCTCTCAAAATACAAACATCAAACGGACCCAAATAGTACTGAAGTTATTCTTGAAGTTATTCTTGTTCTTTCTACGAAGACAATCTTTTAAAAAAAAAAAAAAAAATAGCCCATGCTGTGCAAAAAATTACATTCAACACATACCAGAGCCCCAAAAAGTTAAACTATTGACTTGACTGGGGTACACAGCAATCTTCTGCTTCTGAATGTCAAGGCTCGATGTATAAACAACAAATGCACATTCAAATCTTGCCCCACTTGTTTCTTTTCATAGAGAGAAAGAATAAAGCCACACAAGTGATATTTCCTTATTTCCACAGCTGGGAATTCAACATTTTGAAGGCTGCAGAGACCAAGGCACTAGAAAATGCCAGAGGTCCTGCTGCTCCTGAACAGGGCAGAGGACCCACAGCCTCTTTCACACTCTTTACTTGACAGCACAGACCAAGGTAAATTCAGCACCTGTTTTGGCATTACAGCTCAGCTCAGAGCCAGTCTGTTGTGCTCAGCCTCAGAGACACAAGCAGAGCAGCAATCCATACTTTCCAAGGACTGCGGTTTTTAACTGAAGCAGACAGATGATGCCTTAGGGACCAGAATAAGCAACCCAATTCAGATACCTGTTTTGATTCCAGTCTTTTCTTTGTGATTAGATTAACTGATGAAGATCACTTACATCTATTTAGTATCTATTTACTTATGCTACACACTGGCTACATAAGTCAAATTCCTGCCACCCTCTAAGTATCAAGATCTGTAAAAGATCTTGTCTTTGTCTGAAGCTTACCTAGACCTATTAAATAAACAAGTGTTCAAAGAGCACCCAAAACATTTAATTTGCATTAAATTACCTAACTTGCCTTGTCTTCCATAGATTCATCAATCTTCTATAAATTATATGGTTTGTACTATGCACCAATGTCATTATGAAAATATTTTTTCAAAACATTCAGCTGATCAGTACATAGCAAAAAGATAATCTGTGCATTCCTATTGCCAGAATAGCTTAGGATCTAAATGTCAGTCTGTTTTTTCACTTGAAGGAAAAAAAAAAACAGGGTCTAACTGATTATAAAGAAGATCATGTTTCTATGTGTATATGTTCCTATCTTCTGTATATTTATCTCCAACTTTCAGATTTGTATTTGTAGATGAAAGGTTTCTTGTCATTATAACCTAAAAGAAAAGCCCAGATCAAAAAATTAACATACTTTGGTTTTCTAATGGTCCCCAGGAAACAGATTCTGGCTGCTACACTTGTAAAATGCAAAGTCCTACATTTGGGACAGTGCTTTTGACTGGATGACCAAAGGACAGCCCTGGAGAGAAGGACCAAAGGGTCCTGGTGGACAGTAAGTTGAAGGCAGCAGAGCACACTTGCAGTGACAACAGCTAACAAATAACAGGCTGTGCTGGCAGGAGCATGGGCAGCAGGACAAGAAAACCAATTACTTCCCTCTGTTCAGCACCTAGATCACATCTGGAGTAGTGCATCCAGTTTTGGGCACTCAGTACAAGACACAGTAGAGAAGGTCAAGCAGAAGGTCACTGAGACGGTTGGAGGATGAGAGGCAATACAAGGAACAGCTGAGGGAGCTGGGTTTATTTGGCCTGGAGAAGAGGGAGATACAATTGCTGTTTTCAGCTGCTAAGTGGGGGTTAGGACATGGAGCCAGGCTCTTCTTGGTGGTGTGCAGTCAAAGGACAAGAGGCACATTTTGCAGCAGGGGAAAGTCCTACAAGGCACAAGGGGAAAAGGGAAAAAAACTGTTTCCATGAGAGCAGTCAAGCCCTGGAAAAAGCTGTTCAGAGTTGTATCATTTCCATTCTGGGAGATGTTCAAGGCCTAGCTCAACCTGTCTCACAAGTCAGCCCTGCTTTGATCAGAGGACTAAACTAAGAGACCTCTAGAGATCCCCTCCAGTCTAGAACATCCTACAATTCAACGTAGCACCCAGAAAATGAAAGCAGAACTTTGCACGTGGAAGTCCTTTAAGTGCTCCAAACAAATAGTAATAATACCTTTTATCAGGCTAATAGTATACTATCCTCAGTGTACAGTAAGTATAGCTAACACCAGGATTAAAATCCACACACTGTAGGGTATTATGCCATAATCCACCTTTCCTCAACTGTTATACTCCAGACCTCTTCACTGCCTTCCCTGCCAAATCCCTGGATAACCTCTCAACTGCTCCATGCTCTTGACTTATGGTTTTGTCTAGTCCAGCCTCAATGGCCCCTGAGCCCTCCCAATCCTGCCTCCTCCCTCCTTTGATTAGCAGGCATCACATCACACATTTCATCTGGCTCCTGTAAAGTAACAGCAGTAACAGCACTTCCAGGCAGTCAGCTGCCTCAACTCATCCTTCGCTTCCTCTTGCATTTGACAAAATACCTTGTCAGGATCTCAGAAAGTCAGTCATTTGCAAGTTACCAGTCAGTTCTCAAGTCTACTTTCCAGTCTTAGACACTGAAATCTAACAAACCAAGCAAATTCAGGCTTTTTAAGTTCCATGCTTTTAACATGGGAAAAATTTTGCCAAAAACTGTATGTCTGAGCTAAGGCAGCACATTGAGAGAGAGGACCAAAAACCTCCCATTCCAAAAAAAAAACCCAGCAAAACAAAACGCTTTTGTGTTTAGTTGCAGGGTTTTTTTCTTGAAAAATATGTATGAGGACCTCAATCACAGAAACAATACCAAAGCTTTTGATATATGGAAGCTCACATACAATTTTCGTGAATCAATGATATTTTTAAAAAATATTTTCTGTATTTTACAGCTTAAAAATCTCCATCACAAATATTTGCAAAAGGTATTCTAAGCAAATATAAATTTACTTCAGGTAATACCTCAGTATAAAAAATACTTTCTGTTAGATTTACTACTTCCCTGAATTCAAGC